CCCCAAAACCCCAAAACCCCAAAACCCCAAAACCCCTTAAAATTAGCGTGCTATTGATTAATTTTAAATGGAGAACATTACTTTGGAAAACTATTTAGAAGCTCTGGCTAATACTGGGTAAGCCAAGATGTTAACCCCTCATACAGGCGCTTACGCATTTGTCAAGCACTTGCTTCTTAACAGCTGCTTTGTTAGTCTCTATAACTTTGATTTAGGTGCTCTGATAACGAGAAACTCAGGCAAGCCTCTGAATTTATTGAATCAGCTAAAGAAAAAGCAGGATTTTGTGAAGCAATGATGAAAATTGCCTCTAATCCTGAATACAACCAGGAAGGAGGTTTCGATGTCAATCTTGCAGCAGCAATTCAGCTCAAGAATATGGCTCAATACCATTGGATGAACAGTCAAGATGGTCAACTTGGAGGGTTTAATGATTTTGATGACGAAGAGCCAGTAGAAGAGACAAAAGGTGTCATTATATCTCAAGAGGACAAGGAGTTCGTTAAGACGAACATCATCCAAGCTTGAGCCCACGCTCCTTCCTTTGCAGTTCTCGCTTTATTTGAAGAGATTGTTTTGGTCGTTGCTAAGTTTGAGATGCCAGATAGATGGCCAAACGCTATGACAGAAATCACTGACCTAATTCAGCATGGCGAGGAAGGCAAAGTTTTTGGAGGCCTTACAGCACTTAAGCAGGTAGTTAAGAGATTCGAGTTTGAATTTAAGCAGAATAGAGTCCCTTTGGATGAAATTGTTGATACTCTTTTCCCAACTATAGAAAATATGCTAGTGAATTTGATGGACAATATGGGAGAATCAGCCATGAAAGCCAAGAATATTATCATGAACACTCTTTATTTGGCAAACAATGCTAAGATTTGTAAGAGGTACAGAGATAGTGATAACTTCAACTCCCTCATGAGTGTAGCATTCAAAGGACTGACTCAGGAAATTCCTGAAGAGTTTACAACTCCTACTGAAAGTACAGACATCATTGATAAATTGAACAAGAATGATTTTTGGATGCTCAAAAAGAAATGCATTACTTTATTAAATAGAGTTATGATTCAGCTGTTCAAAGAGAATGAGGCTGAAGACGATCTAAAGGCTTTGTCTAAGATTTTCCTTGAGAACCATTCCAAAGAGCTAATTGACATTGCTTTCTTAATCCTAGATTTATCCTTGACAAAATTTGTAGCAAGTGAAGTAGTTTCTTGTGCAGTTAGGATAATTAATAGGACTGATAAGGCTCCTAACTTGTTGGCAATAGTTTTAGAGAGGCATGAGGATATTGTTTTTAAGTACTCTATTCCCTTGTTATATTTATCTCCTCACGATATTGAAGAATTTACTGAGAACCCAGTGAGTTATACCAGAGGGCTCTACAGTTTGACAATCTCATCACTGTCGGCTAGAAGTTACGCTATAGATATGATAAATTATTTTGTTACGTATAAAGAAAACGAGAAGGACGAGAGCGTTCCTCCTTACCTTGAGAAGTTCCTGACTCATTGTGTAGAGACAATGAGTCAGCCAAGCGAAGATTTCAGAATCAAGGAAAGCATAATGCTTGCAATTGGGCATCTAGCTCCCCATATTTTACCATACGAGAGTTTGCATGCAGGTGTTGAAAACATTCTGAAAGACCATATCTTCCCAGAGTTACAAGGAGAGAATGATTTCCTCAAAGCAAGAGCTCTTTGGGTCTACGGTGAGATGCCTATTTTTGTCAAAGACTCTCACCATGCTGTTGAAGCTGTTTCTAATACGTATAAATGCCTTCTTGACGAATGAATACCTGTTAAAGTTCTAGCTGGGACTTCTCTTCATAAATTGAGTAAGATTAAAGAGGCCAGAGAGATTCTTGAGCCAGGAATTGATAAGATTATCGAAGCTTATCTCAAGATCATGCAGGAGATTGACCAAGATGAGCTAGTCAATGGACTAGAGGAGATTATCAACTTATTTGATGACAAGGTGGCTCCATTTGCTTTTGAATTGATCCAGGAACTGAATAACAAGTTTATCAAAATTGCTGAATCAAATGCTGACTCTCTCAGTGATGCAACATTGGCTGGAAATGCTTGCTTAAGTGCTATCTGAAGGATCTTGTCAGCAGTTAGTAAAGACAAAGATCTGCTTTGTAGAATAGAGGAGATAATTTATCCATCTATCCTCCTCTGTTTGACAGAGGAAGGTCTCGACTTCATTGATGACTGACTTGATATTCCTGTTCTAGTAGTTTACCACAGGAAATTGATCTCTGAGAAGATGTGGGACCTCTATTTCAAGAAATTCAGAATGGCTCTCGGTGATGAGAATGACGAAGAGGAATGAGAAAATGGAGGAATTGGGTTTGAATTTGTTCCAGTGATGATGTCTTTCTTCCAAAATTGCGTCTCATTCGGAGGAGAAAGCTTCTTCAATTACCAAATTGAAGGAGTGACTCCTTTCCAATTGATGGTAAAATCTATCAGAAGAATAATTACTATTGAGAGGAATGTTTTCTCTGATGTGTACTCCACATCAGTGTGTGCCATGAAACTGATGGGAACCATTCTTGAGAACCATATTGGGAAAATAGATGAGGTCCTACCTGATTTCATCAAGTTATTACATTCAGAGCTAGAGGCTAACCCAACTTCAAAGATATACAGGTCATCTATTCTGCAGACTTTCTCGATATGTTTTGTATATGACACAAGCTTGACTTATAAATGTCTTGAGGAGCAACATATTAGTGACCCAATGCTGAAATTCTTCTTTTCAAGCATGGGATCTTTCACAAAAACATATGAAATCAGAAGAGTTCTGTACGGAATCGCTTCGATAATCTCGAGCGATTTGACTAAAGCTCCTGAGCTTCTTAAGAGCGAAACTTCAGCGATCATGAACGTTGTGGTTGTTCTTATCAATGCATATGTGAATGCCAAAGAGAAGGAGATTAAGCAAGAGCTTACTGAAGCCTCCCAGATGAAGGTAATTGAATCCCAAGGGCTTGAAGAAGTTGACGATGTTAAAGAAATTTTAACAAAATTGAAGGAAATTAAGCAAAACGAAGGAAAATTGATGGACTTTGGTCTTGATGTTGGTGAAGATGATGACGATGAAGCAGATGAGTTGATATTCACTGCTGGTGATTTGGAACTTTATGACTCTCCCCTTGAGAAGGTAGATGCTCCTATTTACTTTAAGAATATCATGAGTGAGCTTCAGACCATGAATCCTGACCTATATAATACCCTCACAGGGTTTCTTTCTAAGGAGCAAAATGATATCTTGGCTAAAAGCTTTGAGAAGAATGAAATGTTATTAAATATTGAAAAAGAGTAACAGAAAAATCTAAATAAGTAATGAGAAGTTTATATTATCAATATTTTAGAAATAGTTAGGGGTTTTGGGGTTTTGGGGTTTTGGGGTTTTGGGGTTTTGGGG